CTGATTGATACATCTCTGTGAGGCTTTAGAAGAGGTTGAGAGTCCACTGTTATAGTACTAGACATACATTCACTTGAAATTGTAGAATATGATTGATCCCAGAACAATGATTTAAAAATTGTTCTTAAAAATAAAAAATAGTAGGTAGGTAGGTACTATTAAATATGGTTCAGGTTTATTGGCATTATCATTTAGGTACAATCTATAGTGATAGAGATAGTGTGAATTATATGTGCTAATTAATTGATGTTTTAAACTAAAGTTTTAAGCTAAGATTATCATTGGAGTACATACAGGTACATAATAATATTGATTTATTTAGATTGTCATGTACACAATACAATAAAGTTACGGTACATGGTGAACTTGATTCCAAGTGGCATATTCTACCAGTAACCCTCAGGGTTTTAAATAATAATTGTAATAATACACAATTATGTACCTATTTTAGAATAAAACTGGAACCGCACACCACATATTAAAGTTTCTTTTTCTTTTTGGCCTTAATTTGTATACACTTCTAAAAAATCTTGTAGGTAGTTTCTTAATAATTTCACACAAGAGGACCTAGGACTAATGAAGTACCTATCTAATAGTATTCAATAAACTGTATGATAGGTAAATTTAGAAGTAAAAATATAATAATCACAACGGATACATATGCTGAAAAAGTCAAAGCAAAGTCGTATTGCTGTTTTGTTTTACTTTACAATGTGATGCTAGCATTATTCCCATAGAATGCAGTACCTATTCCTTTTCTTAGGAATTCATTCCTGATTATATGGTGGTGACTACATTGTATATGTTGTGTAAAGTGGGTGAACTTCTGGAAGGAAACAACCAGAGATAACACTAGAACTTAATGAGGTTCAGAAACTTGAGTTGAACCGTGGGTATCAATAATGGATCCTAATAACCTTTGCATATACCCCCCCCCCCTTTTTCTCTTTATGACTTTTAAAATTCCGAAAAGAAGGAGGGCATGGAAAAAGAATCTTCCTGCACTTACTGAATAGTGAAAACAACAGTAAAGATATCAGGGTCAGGAACCCATGATACATATATTTCAGTCTCTTATACTTGTTTGCCTATAGATCTTTGGCGTGATACACCAAGTGGTTTTGGAGGCAAACTTTGATTTAAACTCGTGCGAATGGGACATCTGAGTTTATTTAGGTATTTCTTTACCGGCCTTATTTTCTTTTAAGGTGTAAACATTTATTCTAGATTAACTTAAATAACAAGTGTTCAAGTTCTTTTTGGTAAAACAGAACGTATTTGACATCTGATGTTTTAATGTCAACATGTCAAACAAACGTAAATATTGTTTACAGTGAATATTTTGTTGTGCGTATTCGCTTAATAGTTATTATATTGGCCTTACAATTTCAATTATTAACCTAATTTTAACATGGAGCCAGCCAAATTCCATAGCTGGGCGAGCAAACAATGTTAACTTTAAAGTTGAACGGAATCAAAAATCTGCAACTTTTTGTTTAGGTCATACAATTTTCATTATACTTGTAATAAAATCCACCTTTTTAAGTGGCACTTATATAGAGTTGTCTAGAGTAAGAAATTAATCCTATATACTGAAAGAATCACCCTTTTCAGTATAAATAATATTTAATACTATACCAAGTTTACAAGAATACTTCTGTAAGGTTCTGTATTAGTAATATAGTCTAGACATTTCTTATGTTCTGCAAAATTAAGGAATATCATCAACATAATTTCGTGTAATCAATACTATACAATGTATAAGGTTACTCTTTGGGAAGACAAATAAGAACCGCAAATGTTTGTCATTCACCATTTTCCTTCACTGATATTAAATAAAATGCATTCTTAAGTTGATCATGCATCTGAAGACACTTCAACATATGAGGAGTTTTAGAAATGGTTCTAGATCCATTGTTTATATTAATAGTAACATAATTTATTATAGTCCTTAATTATTTAATTGCCTGAAGGACCATTTGTTCTGGAATGTGAAGATAAACTGGCAAGTAATCACTTAGTCAGTTATCTACATATATGGTACAGTACAGCACCTTAGCTTTAACAATTTTCCTTCAGAAGTAAAATTATTTTGCTTTTACACCTATGTGGGTATTTTGTGGTATATTTGTCTGAACAGGAATATCAGTGATGGTAATTTATACCTATTAATCCAACTAAGTATGGTTGGGAAACCTAAAGCAGAACTCTATTGTTCAGAAAGGTAATGTGATCTACCTGTACTAGCGATGATCCGGACCTCAGTGCTGTGGGTAGAATTAGAAATTCTGTAGAGGATGCATCGGCCTTGTTGATTTTCTTGTAATCATGTGTTCGCTTTAGTTTTGGTTTTTGCTCACACACACACACACACACACACACATATTGTTTGTACATCACACAGTGTTTGTTGATGTGGTTGGCATGAAGTTGGTAGTCTAAAAGGTTTTCTTGGATGTTCTCCAATTCAAGTTTAGACTCTCTGATAGCTTTACTTGCAATAAACTTGTCTTGAAGCACTATTTATTACTGTATATATAGCTAGAACACCTATTTGTGTTCTGATCTTCATTCAGGGGCACATGTTAATAATTTACAGAGCAGTCTGGCTGTATCCTTAAAATCTTTAATAGGTTTGTTAATTAATTTGCGAACAGTAACTGCTCCTAGAGTCATTTGATATTCACAATCCTATCGTCTCACTCAATCCCATCTTTATTTAGTGGCACCTCCTCCCCTCCTCATTTATTTGAGACATTGGGAGGAATTAGGTTATAATAATTATGAAAAGGGAAAATAAGTGTAATCATTTGATAAGAATGGCTTTGTCCAACATGCAACACTATGGAATAGCTGGCTAAGGAAATGTCCCATTTCCCATAAGCATAGGTAGCAATTGCTCCGGAGTATATTTACTGACTGGAGCGAGACTATAGGAGTAGTTTCCAACTCATGTTGATTGGCTTCGGTGCCATGCCATGGTGAGCGGCTTCAACTGGAATGGCTTCATGTTCTTCTGAGGCAAAGCGAACTGATTTTAAGTTTCTAACTGCAAGGTAGTTTAAATGATCCACGGCTAACCTCTCGTGAAAGCTCTAGGATTGCAGTTGGAAATGTTTGACTAAATGTGACTTAAACCCGTGGCTAACCTCTCGTGAAAGCTCTTGTGGTTTGCTTCAAAGTCAAGTAACCAACGGCTGACCTCTCGTGAAAGCTCTTGTGGTTCGTTCCAAAGTCAAGTAAACCAATGGCTAACCTCTCGTGAAAGCTCTTGTGGTTAATTCTATAGTAGAGTTACCAACGGCCAACCTCTCGTGAAGGCTCTTGTGGTTCGATCTACAGTAAACATGTAACCAACGGCCAACCTCTCGTGAAGGCTCTTGTGGTTCGATCTATAGTAAACATGTAACCAACGGCCAACCTCTCGTGAAGGCTCTTGTGGTTTCGATCTATAGTAAACGTGTAACCAACGGCCGACCTCTCGTGAAGGCTCTTGTGGTTTAATCTAGGTATATAGAAAACGTATAACCAATGGCTCACCTCTCCTGAGGGCTCTTATGGTACGTTTCAAGTGTGTATGTTGCGTACACAATCATTCTCAAGGCTATCCGCTTGTGGAAGCTATTGGAAAACGCCCCACAATGTGGTGTAAGTACCTACAAGAAAAAACTTACCAAACTGACGACAACGAATGCGTCCTCTCGCCGGTTTCGCCCAATTATCCAATTCCTGCATACACTCCATCAGTTTTCCTATCTGCTTGCGACGTTTTCGACCCATTTAGTAGGAAAATCACCAAATTAAATTGAAAAATTTTCCAGGGTACGACGTGACAGGTCGTGCACAAAGAAGTACAATGATGTTGCCAGTGAGATGACCATAGAGTATAAATATTTTTTTTATGAATGTGTTCATCTTTAAATATTGTGACAGCGTGCCCAGATTAGTGCCTACTACTACTAGTATAATTAGCGAGGATGACGCTACCTATACAATTACTTTACTTCGCAGTGTAATAACCCGATGACGAAAGAAGCGAAGTTGTCGGCTGCGATGCGTATAGTGCCAGAGTGGAGCGAGTACGATGACGAGATCAAGGGACTGCAGGCGCGCGTCCGGCGCGGACTGTACCAGGCCGCAGATCATGATCAGGTGAGATGGTGAAACGAATATTAATATAGGAATTACGTTGTAAGGCTTTTATGTAACTGCCGTCAATAGTAAATTAATAAAAAAAAAGTTTACTTACGCGAGGCTCAGTATTGAGAAAAACTTTCACCGAGACATGCGAGCTTGAGCGACATCGAGTGGTCAACTGTATATAATCCTTCAAATGCAGTTGATTATGATTTTCTCTGAAACTGTATCTGATGATTGTTATTTGTTGTGCGTAGTTAGGAAGTATATTTCTTTGATTCACTAACTATATTTTTTTTTAAACGAGCATACGGATTTCCTGGTGGTAAGCAATCGGCGTCGCCCATGGACACCTGAGACACCAGAAGCGTTACAAGTGCGATATCGACCTTTTGGGGATTAGGAGTTTGAGGATTGTTGGGGATTCGGAGATTGGGGAGACTGGGGAAGGGGGGAGGAAGCTGGGCCTCCGGTAACCTCGCTCACACGACGAAACACAACGCAAGCGTTGCTTCACGTTGGTTTTCTGTGAGGCTATGATATTACTCCGGTCGAGCCGGCCCATTCGTGCCGAAGCATGGCTCTCCCACACTTAAAATTATTATGATTGTTCATTGTTCAACTAACTAAAAATTAATCATTATACATATTATTTGACAGGAGATCGAGAGTACAGATCACCAAGAGCCTGTAGCAGAGAGTCCTTCGAGTAAGTAACGATCGATATTCATTAGTTTAACGTCGTCGTAGTTCAGCAAGGTATACTATAAATACATTTTTGTTTCAGAACACGAGGAGCATTCTGAGTTATGATGAACTAAATAAAGTCTTTGATATTATTAGTTTATTCCAATTTTGTTGAATGTCGAGTTCGGGTGAATGTGTTAATAGGAAATGCTCACAGTATCCGCTCAGTTCAGCATTAGTTACGGCTGAACAACTCTTATTATCAAGTTTGTTCTATATAAGTCTTTATTTTCACACAATTATTGTAAATTATAAGGTTTTATGTAACATATTTGTTACTCTATGTAATCCGTACTTTCGGCAATACATTAAGTATGAAATTATTTGTCTGAATTTGTTGACGTTATTTATCCATGATTTAATTATAAACACACTTCTGCCAATTTACGATGCCATATTTCAAAATGTATAATAAAGCATCAAATTCTCCTCACAACTAGTACTTGTTTTCTGTTATAATTGTGCCGAGACGGTGATATCTGCATGATGTCGGCAACGTCGCTTGTGTAAGCATCGCTACCACCAGTTATCAAATAAGTAAAAATGATGTGATTTTTAGTTGATAAGTGAAAGGATTATCTTCCTGTTTAACTGAATACCTATTGTAGCGAAAGTTTATTTTTATATTTCCAGTAACAAATTCCGAAATTCTATATAATTTTAGTGATAAAACAGTCGTCTGTATAATTATGTAAGGTACATAAATTAGAAGTCTCGAGATCTCACATGTTAGTGAATTGATTTTACAGTCTTTTGATTGGTTATAAACTTATAAGACATTAGTCCATGTTCCTTTAATTCATGTTGCTCAGTATATTTAATTGGTGATTAACATAATGCATTGCTAAAAAACAATAGTATTGTAAATAAACCTATGTCACATTTATAACTTACTTTCATTGTTACCTCTCTTCTGTTCTCTTGGTGTTTTGATTCGAACACTGATTTACTTCACATTTATTTTTTTATTAATTTTGGCCCAGGTTTAGTCTCCCTAAATTTGGACAAATCGGGGCTTAGGTTCGTTTATAAGTACCTATACCCCTTAATGTTTTATACGAGTTATAGAAGTAGCGAAAAGTTTATTTGATTTGTAAATGAAACAACGTTTTATGTTCTATTCTAAGTACGACTTTTATATACAAGAGATCTTAAACAGCTAAGTAATAAAATTATCATTTGACATGAAACGTCTATAGATATCGAATACGACTAAAACTACGAATCATTAAAGTTAATTTGACAGAAAAATGTCTAAATCTACAAGTAAGTAGGGAAGAGTTTAATAAATACTACAATATGTACACCAATGCGAATAAATGACACTAGGAATAAAATACTTAGTACATTTACCTACCGTAGGATAAGTTATGTCTTTCATTAAAAAGATACAAATCTTCGTGACAGAATAGAGATAGATGTATGTGCATTAGCAGTTAGCACTAAACAGAAACACCAATATTATTAATAGCTGTATATACAGCGGTGGACAAACACTTTATTATTTTTTACTCAATACAATTTATTGTCGAAATATTTGAAAGTACATACTAACTTACGTAATACACTGGAATTATAACTTCCGATATGTTACAAAATAACAGACAGTCTTAACGAATAAATAAAACCATTTAGAAATGTCAAGAGTTCTAAGTACGTACAGAAAAGTACTGATAACGCTTTTCGAAATGTTCCAAACAATAACGTAAAAAGCAAACACAGTTTGCAGGATGTGTCATTGGAATGGGTACCTCAGTACCATGGAATCTCAATTAATTAACTAAACTTCAAATGTAGTTTACAGTTGGTCGGTGAGTATTCTTATTCCAGCGTCTCAATTTATTATTTTCACTAAAACTTTTAAGCAATTCAGTAGTTTCATAGATTACAAGTTAACAAGCATTACAAGAGTTAATCGGAACTATTTAATATTAATTGCTTAGAAAGGTAAAATGACTAGTCAAATATTATACTGTATCTCTTTGGTTCAAAATATACTTGTTGGCTTAAAATTAATCACCGTCAAAAAATGCTATTGTCTAAACATGGTAAGGCGGTCACCATGACATCCGAAGGCCTATAACATATTATTTGTTAAGAAATGTTAACAAATGTTTGGTAAATCAAAATTTGCCCTCCAGAGTCTGAGTTCGAAATGCTTCTCCTCATACAAAATTATTTTGATTTTACATTTTTATCAGATTAAAAAAAATCGTAATGTCAAGCAGGTTTCGTTAACTTGTGGAAAGAGTGGTATCTACCTAATGTCTACAGGTAGTTTTCTTTGATTAGCTGTAATTTGGGGATATCCTCATACAGCTAATTTGGTATGCTTTTTAAATTAAGTTTGGTAAAGATAATTCAGGTGCCTAAGTAGATCAGTTGCAGTAGTGTTCCTCGGTGGTGAGACGACAAAGCTGGCAGTCCACGCGGCAGCACCAATGGTACCGGCAGTGGCAGCGCTCCAACCGGCTCGACCGCACCGCGCGCCGTCCACGACCGCAGCACAGCCGTCCGCATCCGCCTGCTGCGCTGCCTAGACTCGCGTTACATTTCCTGTGGTCGGGGCCAACACTGCTACATGAATTTGCAAAAATAATAAGGCAAGATACTAATGTAATTTGTCTCTAGATACAATGTAATAGTTTTGTTTATCTCCGAAGAGATTTCTAGACTTTTAAAGAAATACTGTTATGAGATGTCGACCGTACCTGCCGTGCGTGCCGAGCGAGCCAGCGGCGGGGTCGGGCTCGCAGTAGTCGGGGCTGGGCGTGACATAGCGAAGGCGCGGGCGGGCGCGGCGCGCGTGGCGGGCGTGCGGGCGCAGCGGGCCGTCGCAGCGGGCCGGCGCGCGCCGCCTCGCCCGCCAGCGCCGCCGCCACGCGCGCCAGCGCCGGCAGCGCGCGCCAGCACGTGCGCACCGAGCACGAGCCCGACACGCCGTGGCACGTGCACTTCGTGCGCATTCCGGCAGACACCGCCTGCACATGCACACAAACCGATGCCTGACTCAAAATTAGCTCAAACCATGAAAGGCACTTCCACTAACAACGCTACATGCTAATGGCAGCTGATTACCGGTACTAGCGAGTACTTTCCTGTGGGTAATTGATTTTGCTTCCTGAATCACTACATAGTATAAAACAAAGTCGCTATTCGCCGTCTGTCTGTCCCTATGTATGCTTAGATCTTTAAAACTACGCTACGGTTTTGATGCGGTTTTTTTCAATAGATAAAGTGATTCATGAGGAATATATGTATAATACATGCATATTGCACCCGTGCGAAGCCAGGGCGGGTCGCTACTATTGTAATAATTATGACCAAGGTTGAAAATACCTAATTATATTTCTTTATTATCATAGTCATACCTTTCTTCCAAATCGTCCATTCATCAGGTTAGCAGATGCAATTAGCTCTCGCAGTCGTTCGAGTCGTGTTCGCAAATCCACTTGAGGGTCAAACCTCGGGTCGTCAGCCGCCATACGATATTCGATATTGCGGTACCTGGAGCCTCTGTCGTCATAGTCATACCTGATGAAAAAATATAATATCTTAGTACCTACTCTGTAATTTCTTCAATTAGTTTGCTCTTGATTATATTGGCACGTTATGCGTTTTTCTGTAGAAAAGCCTGACACAGTCTGATGGTTGTCGTGCAATAACGCTTTAATACGCTAACCTCGGTCTAGATCTGAACCTTTTCCGTGTAGGCCGCCCTCGTCGCGGGGATCGTGGTAGACGCTTTCGGCCGCGACGTCCTTTCTTCTTGATCTTTGGAGGTGTACTGGTATTAGCTGGCGAGGGCTGGTCGTCCACTAAGATGACTACGGGTGGTATCGTGGTTGGTTCTATAGTTGTTGTAGTAGTGGTAGTAGTGGTAGGTATCTCTGTCGTAGTTGTCTCTATTTCCAGGATATTATCCACCTTGCCTTCTCGGACGTCTATTTCATGAGCATCTAGAAATTGCTTCGCGAACCTGTTAAAGTTACCAAAACATAAAAAAATGAATATCGCAGAATCGAATATTCGGTGGGTGTACATACATTGCTATAATGTATTGCTAATGTGCGCGACGGTGGCGACGCGTAGCGTTTACAACATTTGCGGAAGCTGTCAAATAATAACAATGTAAACATTATAATTTTCTTTGCAAATATAAATAAAACCAAAGATTAAAATAGTATTGTTGCCATTATCTAAGTGCTATTTATTCAATAGTTTTACTGTAAAATGAATATAATAATAAAAACCGGGTTTGAAACAATTACACTTAATGTTAGTTTCCAACCACAAACTGAGACAAAAGCAATAAATTAGTATTAGCCCAGCAGATAAGAAATGTGGAAGAACTGCGACATAACGGCCAGAGCTACTTAATACGAGCCCACGTAATTCGTCAGACATCTGTGACACTAACACCATACAAAACCAGTTTAAACGTAAGTAATGTTTATGTGATGCCAGAACCCTTCTTATTATTTCTTACTGATATGTAAAATGTGACTATGTATATAATCAGAGCGGCAAGTGCAAGCATGTTAGTGCTTTAAATGTGCTTTAATATCTTATGTTAACAACACCACCAGCTTGTCAAAGACCAGTAATGAACAACAGTGGGGCAAACCTAGTATTCGGCAATACAATAACAATAATACAACAGTCATGGCCCATTTCTTTGCTTTGATTTTGTACTACAATCAACACATCTGACAGCTGATCATCTGCATTTGTTTCCAATTTCTGCCGTGTTGTGCGCTGCGGTCGTTATCTGTCCGCCACAGTGGTCCGCCACTACTCGCTTTGCACATAGCCTATAGGTGTGTGTGTATGTTGCAAATAGTGTGGTTGGGTGAGTCATTTCCCCACTTCCTCACTCGAGTATATTAGAAACAAATAAAAGTCATTTAAAATATACTTTCAATAGGTGCAATATAATGCAATTTTATTCTTGTTAATATTTAATTATTTATTTTATATCTATTTAGTTATTTTGTAACTTATTGTTTCTTATAGTTTAGTTTTCATTTTTATTTATTATATTATGTTGTGCTCTAAGCAGCGTTACCGTAGGTGTATAATTATGTATTAACATTGTAGTAATCTACAGGCTGGTGCTGATAATCAGCGCCGTGGACTCGAGCCTACGTGGCCACGCCACAATATTAAGTTGAGCTCCGGCCTTTTGCGCTGCTACGCACCATTCTGTTTGTATGTACCTGTGTTCTTGTCTACGCATCTTTCGTGGCGTAATAAATGGTTTTTCTTTCATGTACCTTTCAGCCCATTGAAAATTATCTCCACATCCACCCCATTTGAACCTGGCGTGAGGCTCGGCGGGTGTGATCTGTGCCTGTCGCGGAGGACGAGGCGGCGCACGCGGAGGCGCAGCGCACGAGCACGCCGGCAACGAGCCGGCCGCGCACGCGCGAGCCACCGACCATGTCAGCGCCGCCGCAGACATTGCGTACACGTAAGCTTGCTCCCGAGTACCTGAGAACAAAACAAAACCTTGACATAGAAACGAAACTTGTTTTATTGGTGTCTGTTGGGACGTTAGGGGTGTATACTATGTAGACTTACAACATTGACTGACAGATTATCTTGGAGCTAAGAATGCTTGGCAGCACGTTGGTTCGGCTCCACTGGACAATACTTTAATGTAGTCAGTAGTAACTGAGTTTCCAATAGTAAGTGATTTAATGCTTTCATTCTAATATAGACAATCTAGTTTCCTTATTTATTGAGAGCATTTCTTTCTTTATTGAAACAAAGAGTTTCCTTTTTATACCAGTACTTGATGTTACCCGCGACTTCGTCCGCGTCGAAATATGACTTCTGACAGAATTCATCAGAATCGATTCAGTGCCTGTGAAATAATTTATCGTGGTTCCAAAAAATTAATAACCCCGCAGGGATCTTACCAGTACAGTGCCCGATCACGTAAGGTTTGAGTAATAAAAACTATTCTATCGACTATTGTTGTACCGAATCTCTCTAGAATAAGTTCAGTGGTTAAGAGTTAGAGAGTCCTGGGGCATTGACGCATAGTTCCCGTTCTCGTGAGACTTCTGTAATAAAAACTATCATACATCGTTTCCCAGGTCTCAAATTATAGTTTTACCGAATGTAACTCAAAAAGTTTCAATGATTCTAGATTCAATAGCCAAGACGATTTATACAAACTCTCATTTCCTATTTTATCCCCTAAGGGGTGGAATTTATCAAAATCCTTTCTTAGCGGATGTCTACGTCATAATATCTACCAGTGGTTTGAGCTGTGTGTTGATAGATCACTATGTCAGTCAGTCACCTTTGAATCCGTACTATCCATACTACCTCTAATAAAAGTACCACCCCCCCCCCCCCATGATATTTGGATTATTCTTGATGTCTATCAAAGTCCGATGTAGAGCTTCAATTGCTCTTTTATGGGTCATGGTACACTCTTGCTGCAACAAACGTCCACGCACGCTGTTTACTTATATTACAGACTGGCATTTCTTCATGGGCTAAGTTTAATTTTCGACCACTATTGAGCAGAGTGGCGGCTCTTCCGGAAGGGGCAACTGATACAGTCACGATCACGCTAGATTTCCGCGGGAATGAGGTATTTTCCCGCCGTAAAAAGTAGCTTGTGTCCGTGGCTAGGATCTTATCTTTAAATTAACCAAGTCTTATAAAAATCCGTTAAGACGTTAAGGCGTGAATGAGGTAAACTTTTAAAACAAACGATTAAACATCACTAACTTCATTGGTTTTCTGCCTACTGCCTAGGCCTTAAGATGATAGCATGAATTAATATTCAAGATAGCATAATAGCAAGTAATAATTGACATAGCATGAATTAATATTAATATTAATGTTCATGGTATCTTAATATTATTAATTTTTATTATTAATATAATTATTAATATTGCCTATATCCTTTTCTGGGTTACCATCTACCACCTAACAAAATTTCATCAAAATCCGTTCAGCCGTTTAGGCATGAGAGAGCGAAACACCCAGCAAAAACGACTAAAAATCACTAACTCAATTTAGTTATCTGCCTACTGCCTGCCCCCTAAGAACGATGGCGTGATTATTTATAGCCTATGACCATTTCTAGGTTATCATTTATCACCATACCAAATTTCATCAACATCTGTTCAGCCGTTTAGGCGTGAAAGAGTAACAGACAGACAGACAGAGTTACTTTCGCATGTATAATAAAAAAAATAAAAATAGTATAATAGTATATAGTATTTATAGTATATCTTTATATAAAGTATTACTGGGTTTTTAAAAAATCTCAGTTTTAGCACGGAGTTTGGAAATGTGCCCGGTATATGGCAATAGGCTCACCCCCTATTACATGGGACTTATAAATAGTGAAAAGTGGGTGTTACATTGTACAGTGGCATTAAGTGCCGAAATGTGCATCTCTGCCTACCCTTTCGGGGATAAAAAGGCGTGATGTTATGTATGTATGTATTATATCTTTATGTATATAATTCTTCTGTGAGTGTGTATGTCACTGAACTTCTCTCAAACGACTGGACCGATTTTGATGAAATTTTTTGTGTGTGTTCAAGGGAATCTGGGAATGGTTTAGATTCACAAATCAGCCCGGCAGATGGCGCTACAGTCGATGTTTAGGTTATTTATCCTAAACAGCTGAACTAATTTGAATGAATTTTTTTTATACATTCAAGTGGATATGCAGGACAACGTCTGTTGGGTCCGCTAGTATAGTATATTATAGTATTATAGTATAGTATATAGTATGGATAAAAGCACGATTTTTATGATGGATTGTCAGTATGCATATGTGAGCACCATGTTAGACTAAGAGATAATACTTTTTTTTTTTTTAGCAAGTTTTGTAATTTGTGTAATGCGTCAAGCGTGTCTTTGCATTGTTCTCACATATACGTACAGTATTGGAATATGTATCAGAGACATTATAAAACAGACTTTTTTTTTAAAAGAGTGACGAATGGTGTTTATTTTGATGCCCTATATTTCAATGTTTTTGTGTTAAAGGGAAAAAATAAGGTCTTATGACCGTACTCCTACGCATTATACTTAAGGCTAATAAACAGGTTGTTCGTGAAACAAAGAAAACTAAAACGATCTCAATAAATAGAAGTACTTATTTAATTCTGACAGATAGACTATGTATGTGGATATCTACCGCCGTTTTTATGTTTTATCTACTTATAGTTCAGTAATTGAGAAGTTTTACCTGGAATGTACCATATTGGCCATATTTCCTACTTAATTATCGGACTATTAAGTATGCCTTAAGTTTATACCTAAGTAGGTTTAATCTCTTAATTTAGAGAATTGGAATCTTAATTTAGTTGTAATTGTTTCTTATCTAACCGTCTCTTATACATAATACATAAATTGTTTAAGTCTATGCTGTTTTAAATTATTTTAACCTGTAAAGGGTAAACTGTGTACACCTAGTAGGTACATTTTTATACTTAAGTAGCTGCAACTCGTTTTAAACTCACACATTAATTTGTGTTAAAAATGTTGCATAAAGAACATAATAAGCACCTTTTCTCTCTGCCGAACTATTCCGAAGTACCTCACCGGCGGATGCTAGTCGATTCATCCGTCCGCCGACGCGTCGACGTCGACTTTTTAGTCAGCGTGATTTATCCGATTTTACGCAAAGTTAGCTTGCCTACGTAGACTACGTTATGAATTTAAGAACTTTCCGACCAATTTGAATAAAAAAGATCAGCGGATTTCCCTTTGTTTAATTTGAATTAAATTACAATAACGACGACCAGCTGTTCCGAGCTTTGATTTTGAATTGTAATTGTTTCAATTGTATAGTTTGTTTTCTTCATTCCAAGTCCCTATTTTACATGGTTTACATGAGTAAACCAGTGTTTGCAATTAAATAATTATAACCAACCTTTTAAATGATAATATTTTACCTATTCATTATGGTAGGTAGGTACTATTAAATTTTGGCTTGTGGCGACACATGTCACAAATCAACGGATGATGTCACAAGAATCCTACATCGCACATGCAAAGTTTACAAGCGAATAAACATGGATAGAAAAACCCAACGAACAACGATTGGGCAGAAAGCCCGCCAGGCACGATCACCTCGCCTGGTCGGAGGATCCTCCTTTTCCGATCTTAGGGAACTATACTCTCTGTTCCCGTAAGGTTTATCTTCTTTAACTTTTCAGTAGACCATTTCAGTAGAATAGAAGTATTCATATTATTATTCATACGGAAGGCAAAAGTCTGGTCTCTTATTTAATACTTGAAGCTTTATACCTCTATAAGTGTGCTGGTGATAGGCACTTTCCATCAAGAGAATCTTTTTTAATTACAAACGATATCAATGCGATAAAGCCCGCACGTCCTTAGCTGAGTTAAACAATGGCATCTGACGGGCTTATCACACAGCACATCGGCAGCGCAGACCGCGCGTGAGTGCACAGCTCACGGTTATCGCTGAATGACTTCCCTCCCCGTCCCACCGGCACCCTCCCCACCCCGCGCCCTGCACGCTTGATTCATGCGTGTAATTAAATCTTTTGTACGTCTCGCTGTACCTCGAGCTCGACCCTAAACCCTCACCACTGATCGCATTGTAAGACGACCTTTCAATCGTCGTTCTAATTTAACAGACTAAAGATAACTTTCATGGTTTTCAGAAGAAAAGCTTTATCTCATCAATAAGGATTCGTAAGATTGATTTATATTCTTAACTTTGTCCGCTTTTCCGAAATACTTTTCATTAATTTGTGAACAATTACAAACTGATCCTTGTTGGTAGTCCACTACTTATTAATCACCATAATACAAAATATTAAGGTACATCCATTTAAATACACATCATAGAGTCGAATCATCGTACAAAAAATTAAAAGCTTCTAAAGCAATCCCCAGACGCCTCACAGGTCGCGGAGAACCTAACGGGTTACTGGGGCTCCGGCTCGAAGCGCAGGAGAAGGAACGGTGTGGTTTTTAGTCAGCAAGAGTCTGATACTATAGGCGGGAGCAGTAATTCGATGATTTTCCCGCCTAAAAAAGCAAAAAATAACTATTATTGGTACTAATAGATTACCCACCCTCTGATAGGTTAGAAGTTGGTGCCATAAGCTCATATCATAATGATATAACTTAATGGCCAGAAAATTGTAAACTAGGTATCTATTAAGGTCTTAATGAATAATTTTGTATAGAACTTATGGCGCCGACTTAACTTATTTCGAACCTGTCAGTGGGTGGGTAACCTATCAGTACTAATAATAGTTACTTTTTACTTTTTAATTTTGACTTTTTATTTGTTATTAGTTTTTGTTTTTTGAAGTCGGTTTTTTAAACGCAGGTTTTTATTGATAGTTTAACCTGAGGCACGTTACTTAAAACGACCAGTCTAAATATATGACTCAATTGAGGTGTCATCCTGACCATGATTACATGTTTCTTACATTTTTCCATGATGATTAACTTATCGTCCGTACCATGCTACATGAGATGTCGGGACTTAGGTGTATAGCTGCGAAGTCGCGTGAGACACCGCGGGTGTACCGATATAATATTCGCATGTAAAGAGCAAAACGTCACGGCAACCAGCTCATAACAAAATCAAATATTTGTGATGCCGTGACACCGGCGATAGGCACCACCTGTCACGTCGAGCATGGATGACGAATGTCGCGGCTACATCCAGTACCGGGGTTTCAACGTGATTGACATTTGTTTTATAAACGGTGCCATCAATGCCGAAATTGTGCATTGTGTGTGTATGCTTACTGCCTTTGTAGGGCAAGATATGTTTCTATTGACAAAAAAATGTTAGTGATAATAATGTGATTATCTCACTCAATACTTTTCATGGCATTATAATCGAGTGACATTATGCAAAATTAGAGAGACGCTTATCTAAGTAAGTAAACACCTCAACTCTTAATGAAAAGTTATTCTTTGTTCATTGCCACAACGGCCGCAGACTTTATTCTCTTCGTAAAACTTTTAATTAAAATGTATCAAGCCGGGAGCACTCCAAAGATTCCTAACGGTTTTGTTTGTAGCCGACAACGTTTCGTGTCAATTAATTTCCTAAAGTGGGCAGACGGACGCCGAAATGGTGACCAAAAACAATGCTCTGTATTTCGCAGTAGTCGACCGTCGGCATCCGGCCCGCACTCGCTGCCAACTACACAATGTCGCCGACCATGCTAAAACTAGAGAAAAACTTCCCCATTGTTTGTCTTCTTTTCTATTCCTAACTTTTAGACACGAAGTTGTTTTTTAACATCTCTGCAAGCGCTCTATATAACCAAACATAAAAGGATATTGAATATGTAGGTTTAAAATCTACAAGAATACAAACATCATGTGATGGAATCAGGAATCACGAACTTATTGGTTTATCTCTTTATCATCGATCAATGTATTAATATGTACATGAACCCACGCGTCATTCTGGAATCTAAATATTGTACAAGCGGCCTATGCCGATGCTCGTTCTACAAAGTTCGTGCTGGCATAGAGTTATGAAGACATCGCGTGACGTCTTCCGCTATTTAATAAGGTTCCTTCGCCGACCGTACGATTGGCAACGGCACGATTGCTCTTTAATATGTAGGTTCTCGATGATCACTATGAGGGACTAATTAACAATAGAAAATTTTAATTCAAATTATACAATGGTGTATTTTGGAAATTAATTACCCGAGAAGTGATAAATATGTTCATGTGTCATGTAAATAAAAAGAATGGTCGGAGCGGAACGGTACCCGTGCAGCGTTGCTGAAAGAAAGGGCGCTGTCGTCACGCCAGCCGCGCTCGCACAATACATCCAGGGTGATTTAAAAGACTCGACAAACTTGTCTCCCTTATCTTACATTTGTGATGGAAGATGCCGCTTTTTCTAAAGATGGGAAAACATATTCTTGTGTTGTATACAAAACAGTGAGAGTAAATAATAAAATTGTAAAAAAATGTGTAGTTACCTACTTACTACACATCATTTATCTAGTTAATGGACGCGGTAGGGCTGATCTGTTTCCAACAGGTAATCCACCTACTCGTTATCCGATATAAATAACATAAACGATGATACAAACCTGTAAGGAGGTCAGGAGAAAATCTGGGAGCAAGTTCAATTGATGAGCAGTTCCAGCGTTCGCCCTGGTGCGCGGAGAGACAGGCAGCCCGAGCGAGGCGCGCAGCTCCCGCCACGTGCGGCATGGCCGAGGGCTGGCGCCGGCACGCGCGCGCCTGCCCGCCCCACAGCCAGCCCGCGCGACGAGCCTCCAAGCAATCATTCTCCGTCCAGTTGCCTTCGCTCTCATGCAAAGCTCTGTGTCCAATTCAAAACAATACAATCATAGCGGGAGTAGGTGCTTAGATTTTAATAATTTAGACTTCAGACAGCATATAGGCGGCATATGAAGTGGACTTTCTACCAAAACTTATTTAAATAAAACAATTTGCTTGTAATGTAATGTTTATTTGAAAAAGGGTTACCATCCATAGCCTAAGTAGGTGTCACATTAAGTTATACAATGGCAGTGAATTGTTAGTACGTATAAAGTTAGTGCAAAATCATTCAATCAATCACTATTTAGTAATTTTCTTTTCGTGTTCTACGTTATAAGAGGATGATGATCCATCACCACGTCTAGCTGATTCTGGTCTTTGACCGCGCTGAAAGGCTTCACACATTTCATACAAATAGTTCGGTAGAAAATCAGAACCTTCGCCTTCTCTACGCCGTAGCACGTGGTACGCCTCGCGTAGCGTAGGTTTGGGTGCCAGGCGTAACTCTAGTTCTATGGCTGTAGGAAAATGAGCTGCTAGCGAATAAACGATCTCCAAGTCTGATGGGGGTGGTGTTAAATGTCGATAGTTGGAAACTTTGTGCAAGAAATATTCTGACATACTGACTCTTGGATTACTCTCATCGTATTTTCCTAATTTCATGTCGTATAATACTGCTTTTTGCCTATCGGGGCCCCAGAATTCCAGTTCGAAAGCCTTATAGAATGTTTCCACATCTTTGAACTCACTCCTGAAGCATCGAGCCCACATGAGTGGAACTCCTTCTAAACATGAAATAATGAATGGAAGTTGTTTTTCCTGTGCCATCTTTAATTCGGAAATGTAATATTGTATATTTTCTAAGAAATCCATAGGGTGAGTTTCTCCCACGTCATCAAAATGAGGTCTCTTATTAATAGTTGCAATTATCCAGTCGTTGATATTTTCTGACGATAAATATAAGGTTGTTTTATTTTTTTCTTCATCGAGTTCAACAATTTTTGGCCTGTCCTCTTTTCGTGAAGTGGAAGGTTTATCGAACACAGTTTCAGCTTTACCCAGGTTTGGGAGCGACATGTGACTGCGTAGTCTAGACGAAGGCATTGGAAGGCTTTGGTAAACATCTTCTTGACTGGAAAAACGGACCCCGAAGCCTAAAGTCGTCGGTTTGTGAATAGAACTGCTGTACATAGAACTACTGTACAAAATGTCATCCTTTCTAGGTTGTTCTTCTTGTTTCTTTTCCTTTGTGACAGATGAAGATATCTTGTCTACCATCTCAGATAGATTTGTTACTGACGATTTAATTTGACGTAAATCAACGAACAAACTCATTATAATATTCTTTAGTTTTTAGGTTTATTCGTCCATGTTCAGATTGTTATTATGTAAACGAGGTCAAAGGCTGTAACAAAGTAATACTAGACGTTATGATCTTATCACATGATTAGGTAAGTACTTCTAGATATACTAGTTCTAACTTAATAGTTAACTACATGTGCTTGTTAACCGTGAAATACAAAACATAAACTACCTATCCTTTGTAAGTACATAAGTAGGTAGATACGCACTTATTGATGGACTTTTCATTTCACTTGCTAGTTGATTGATGACTAGTCAAGTAACCGTAGAATTAGTGTATCCATTGGCATGTTGTGTACCAGACAGACCAGAATAAATAAAAGTTATTCATGTGAAACTTACTAATTAGTGCTTCTGACTACTACGCAATAGAAAGAGGGCGATCTGTAGGCAGAAGGTATTTATGAATCAACATGTTGTTTTGTTTTGACTGTAGTTGTCCAGGAGCTTTTAATATAAAAAATATCAAGTAAAGAATACAATGAGATTTATAACCAAAGATCTAAAAAATACTCCTTTTCGTGATTGCAATATTTTTGTAATATTTAATTACTTACTTATTATGTTTTACTATGAACATTATAAACAAGTAAAAATTTTAAGACAGTGCGATGATATTGTGTAATAAATAAAGTAATATCGGGAATAGTTCAGTCAGTGACAGTGCGTGGTGCGCTGGGCGGGTAAAGCGTGCGTAGCAAAGTTCGTAGCACAAGGAGCTTACGTGCGACGGCGGCGGGCGGGCACTCCGTACTACCCGCGGACTACAGTGACTGCCGAGGGATGCGGCAAGCGTACTTGCCGCTTTTTATATACAGCTTGCGTTACGATAACTGGGTTATCGTAGATGGTATATTAAATTTCATTGACGTTTCGTTGTGCCTGCCAAGGACACGCGTTGCCGATGGTACCGTTTCCAATATTGCGAGGGGAACACGCTTTGTTCGAATATCTAGGTTGAATTCGTGCCATAGTTGTGAAACTAACTGAATTTGTTACACTCCTAAAGTCATCGACATTATTTGAATTGACTTCATTGGTAATCATGCTAATGATAAATAATGCAAAAAAAACTGAAGTAAATTAATATATTCAATGAATATTAAGTATTTTAACCTAATCTTAGTTGGTAGGTAAGGTACCTACCTACTATCTACTTACGTAACTTCAACTGATTATTTTAAGGTTCTCCAAATTTAGTAAAATATATTGAGATGTTCCCACTGTGATACGCTAAAATAGGGTTAGGTCGTAATTACAGCTTCAAAGGTAGGTTTGCCTTAAGTTATTACCGACTACACTGCAAGTTCATTATTGATGCATTAGTTCCGCGGCTGGCCGCCGCTCGGTTGCGCATATCTTTGCGTCCGAATGAACAATAAACAACCTGCCGGCCTTCCATACTTTTTAGCCTAACATGAACCTCAGCGACAGCAAGGGGAAAGTGCGTGCTTTGCGTGTGTTTGTCTCAAAGTGTTTGTATTAATGTATTTGTACCTATACCTACATTTTTAGAACAAAATTAAAGACTATATATAGTAAGGACTTGTATTGTATGTAAGTATGTATATTAGTATGTATTGTATGTAAGTATGTATATTAGTATGTATTGTATGTAAGTATGTAGGTAGGTACTTACAATAGGTAGGTATACCTATGCTAAAAAGGATCAGATATTACATATTAATTATTTTTTAAATGTAGTACCTAAGTAATAAATAATTATTTATTAAACTATAAAATAACTAACTACTAAATTATAATTTAGTCCGGCTAAGTAATAGGTTAATCGTTTAGTTCAAACTATAACAAAAAAAACGGTAGATAACAATGTCGACTGATACTTGGCAAGTAAGTACCTACCTACTTAATTACATTTACATTACCTAATCAAACGCCTGAAAAATGACTGATCTTAGTCTTAGTCAGTATGAGAAGACGTAATTAAAAAACTGTCGGACAAGTGCTGAAATTAGCTTTATTTCTTTTGCAAAACCAATATCCGCGTAACCGTGTAATATAGAGAGGAGGGGGCAGGAGGGGGCGGGAGGGGACACACAGTGCACGCGACGTCACCACTCACGGAAGCTATCATGACAAGCGACGGGCCACGTCACTCGGCCCACATGCAACCAATCGCTAATATCAGCCTGCAAACTTGGAAACAGCTACGCAGCACGCATCCGCAGAACAGCGCAGCACCAATTGACTCCGGCCATCAAGTCACGGTGCTACGAGCCTAAAGCTTCCGTAATCCTACTATTATGGTTAATTCATGTGGAATGTAATTGTACCGTTGTTGGACTCCGGCCGGGAACATTATCGCATTCGTCACGCCGCGCACGTGTACGTTTGATCTAATAAAATAATTCCCGTATCAAATTTTACGCGCCTATCTCGATGTGGTAGACAAAGAACCGCGCAGAGGGGCACAGGGTTTCGCTTTGTCATAACTGGTCGCTGGCACAAAAGACCACCCAGTATTTTTTGGGTAGATCTCTTTGTGTTGTACATGCAGATAAAATAGACCGTCACAATGTAATTCTTTATTATATCTATGAATTTTTCTAATACCGAAAAGGGTCACATGTCTGCGCAATAATAAAGCCATGACGTTACAAATAAAAAGCATAACAATACTTGTACACCGATTTGTGTGTGTATAATAGATTCAAATTGTAGGTACATAATATAAACGCAGAATAGATTTAACCCGTTGATATCCATCCCCTAAATTTGGTCATACAAAAGTATTCTCTAAACATTAGAAATAAGGTCTATAATGTAATGTAATATTAGCGGAAAGCGGTCACCGGTGACCGCTTGGGGATTTATTATTTTTTTCTTTGAATTCATCTACCAACAGTACCCACCCACTTTAGATACTAAAAGTGATTTTTCACATACCTGTGTAGCTGAAACAGATCATTTATCAGAGCACTTATCTAGGTACATATTATGTGTTAAAATAAAAATATATCTGTCTATCTATTACTAACATAGGTTTATTTATTACTTAGGTAAACTATTTCTTAGTAACAATTTTGATCCGAAAAGGACCTATAACTAGTAGATATATACCATTCTAGAAAGTATTGTTTTATCAATTGTAAATAATATTCTGTCTCAATTGGAAGGAACTAACATCTAAGGTATACTCGGCCTAGTTTAGATGTTAGTATTCATAAACTGTGTGTCAAATGTTTTTGTTACAATAAACACTTTTTATTTATTTATTTATAACTCTGAGTAGGTATGGCGGTACCTATATAACGGCGGGGTTGATATTTTATTTCTTTAAATCATTATTTGCCGCAGTTGCGAAGTTTGCCAGCCTTTAAAATTGTAAAACATTTAAAACATCGTCAAAAACCCACGATGAAACAAAAACCCGTTTGGGGCGCAATACAGCTGACGCGGCTGCAGCGGCGGCGGCGGTGGCGCGTCACTGATTCCACTTTAATGATGATTAAATGTTATATGATTGTTGTGGCGTGTGTAGCACCCCTATATCCAGCGGCCTGCATCGTAGCCTAAGGGAAACTTAAAAGGAAACTTTTGGTGTATCTAAATTCTAAATGCGAATTTAATTATTTACCGCAAATGAATAAATGTTGCATTACTGCTTTGATATTAATAGTTTGATCCCCTTTACAAACCTTAAATTACATTTGTTAC